CCACTTCAAACAACTTGATATCAAGCTGTAATGATGTAATGATATCGTTGTTTACTAGAATATGAAAGAAAATAAGCTTCCAAGGAAAAACAGCCTTTTCCTAATATTGCCACATCAAATTAAAATCATAACTATTAGATAACTTCTAATGAAAAATATATGAATTATAGATATACCAAACATCGGGTTGCTTCTAAAAAGCGATTTGATTCAGGAAAATATTCATCATATTATAACATCTCACAGAAATTATTCTGAATTAATCAGAAACAAAAACCAGAAGAAGTTCCGATTACTTTTCAAATAATAAAAGAATTATGTTATGAATGATAAGAGAACAATAGTAAAAGTGCAAATTGATAGCAAATTATCAAGCAAAATTAATTAAAGTCGCGTACATACAAAAACAATTCCTTAAATTTATTCCTTAACATTGGATAAGAATTTATCATTCCATTGAAATTATAAATAATATTCACAAGATTGCGTAATTTAATAACATGGGCACGAAACGTGCACGATTAACCTTGCCTATACGATTAATCCGATAATAAAAGTTAAACAAATTTCCTTAAATAACCGCCAACGTTATTAATAGTAAATGACCGAAACATATTCAAATATATACAATGACATCATATAAAAATTTACACAATTATATATGCGATAATTTTATTTGGCAGTTACGAAAAAATGACAAATGCATCAATATTGGCAAAGTATAATAAATTTAGAACGCAATGCGGAGAGTTTTATGGCAAGTTCTAATCAGAATTTAATGTTTACTAAAACGATAAATATTTTTTAAAGAAATTATCGCTTGGAAGAAGGTAAACAGAGTGTTGTGTAAATATTAGTCATACTTGTTTACTCAGACTAAATTGGGCAAATGTTTAGACAAATATTCGTGAATATATTGAAATATATACATATACTAGATGACCCGACAGACATTGTCCCGTACCCACGCCCTACAATTCAAAAGTTCCAAATTTTTAATATCCTAACCTATACTTTTTAATATCCTATTTGATGTCCTGCCTTTATGATTCATATATGGTCTTAGCATAAACAGTATAAGAAATTCAGAAAAAAAAAATTTATCTGCAGTAAAACTACAATATCACACTTGATTTTACCACACAACATAATTGCTTCAAAAATTTAGTCTATAATTTTCATAATCTCGTACGATATATTAGTTGCTTTTTGCCAATTATAATTTCTGAAGTACATTTTCTTACTAATAATTTAAAAAACGTTATTGTTTATGTTCAAATCTTAGGTGAATTAATTTGTAAAATCTATAGACCAAGAGCCCGTGGGCGGATGACAGTATGTATTTTACGACACCTTAGTTTTTGTGCATTAAGTCCTCTACACCTATCCTACATGAGATGGGGACTGACTAAGCCCAAAGTGGCGGATATAGCTACTGCGCAGCCGATAAAGGTACCTTTTTTCGCTAATTTCAAAACCATTTTGCGACGACTGCCGCTTCGAAAATAATATTACTGTCGAAAAATACCGATGGCAGACGATTATCGCGCGGTTAACATAGTGGCAGACGGTTTTGAAAATGCAAAAAATTTTTTTTGAATGTAATTGACGATGTCTGCCGCTTACATATTTTATTGTTTATAGTATGAGAAGCTTATTTTCATCGCGGCAGACGTGTACCTGGCGTATCTACATCAGTAGAGTAAAAAGACTCATTATGGGTCTTTTTCTCTACTGATGTTCCAGCAATTTGCCTTAAAGCACGATGCCATACAACACTAGTTAAGAAATCGTTGCTAACCAATTTTTTATATTAATTACGGTAAGACTCGACAGACTATCACATAAAACTCAGCAAACAAATCCTCTAATTCTAATAAATAACTGCTGAATTTTAGTCCTTTTATATATACGCTGATATACTTCTTATAATAGTCTTTCCAATTAAACTTGCAAAACTCTGATATTAAATGTATATAATTTGAAAGAAAATATAAAAATTCTATGTATTCTTACTCATTGTTAAAAAAGACATATTTAACATATAAATTCAAAGTGTACCTTGATTCTTTTGATACATCAATAACCCATACTATGCCATATGTATCTAATTGTCTAAAAATTCCACATTATGGTTTTCTCATAAATAACTAGTTTTTTCTGAGTTGTTCAATGATCATCAAGTGATTTAGCAATATTAAAAAAGAAGTAGTCATTTCATTACAGAATTGTAATAGTCACGCAATTGAATAGAATAAGATGCTGACATTACTATTTAATAATAGCATTTATTTTTGTCATATCGTAAAATAATTAGATGAAAGTCGAATTGTCATCATATCATTAACTTTTTCTTTATATGTAATTTAATTTTAATGGTACTATGCGCTGTGACAATGGAAAAAACAAAAATTTATCTTATATATAAATACTTTTGTAATGATGTATATATTTGTAACGATTATTCGGATTTTGATCAATCTTTCTGAAGTTCGTTAAGGGATTTTTTTAAGATGTATGTGATTATAAAAATACAGTAATATTATATAAATAAATGGAAAAAATTGCAAAGAAAATTTTTTTGAGGCATTGTTTGGCATTGAAAACAAATGAAAACTGTCATCTGCCAAAAATTTCAATTTACCTATGAGTCTAGGCAATATTAGAATATGTATAATAAATTCATGATTATTAATACGAAAAATGAAAGTCTACATTATTATTGCCAAAAAGTATTAAAGCTGAGATGTGCCAGAAATTAAAAATGTAAGATACAGTATATGTATGACAGATTGAATGATACACATATGAACAGGATTTTAGAAATTAATTTAAAATATGAAATTAAGTAATAATCAGGGCCGGTCCTACCTTGATACGATGCATGCGAAAAATGCGAGTGCACGCCTTAGGGGGCGCCAACACAGATTCGGATATGAAATTTTAATATAGTTTTTTTTTTTTCAATATAATTCAAGAAATATATAATTTTTGCATCTTTTACTAATCTTTGCACAATATTTTTAAAATACGTTAAAAATTTACACATTAAAACAACAAATGGGAAAGTAAAGATGAATATATACATTTCGGCCCTTACAATATCAATTAGGAGAAGTTTAAGATGCAATTTAGGATATCTTAAATAATAAAAAAAAATTAAAATAATCCAACATGAAGTATCAGAGATATGTTATGGTTATGTTCAATAATATATGGCAAAACTTTTTTTGCACTCTATGATTTGCTCAATAGAATAAATTGCATAAAAGCCCAAATAAATAAGGGAAATGTTGCAAAAGCCAAATATTAATTAATGATAATAATTTTGATAATAAACTGTTAAAACAGGTAAAATAATAGAGGGGTGTGGGCTCGCTAGAAAACAAAAAAGGCATTCATGCATAAAATATGCATTATATTTTAGATTTACATTTTAGTCATTAGTGCAAAAATACTTTATTATTCTCCAATTTCCTTTAAAAAATGTAATGAAAAAAACTTGTAAACAGCATGAATTTACCATAAAAAACAAGCGTGTAAATTTAATCTTTTGCTCAATAACTTATTGATAAAGAACATTCATATTGCATTGGTCAAAATTCAATTATTGAGACTATACATATAGATGTTTATATAGGTATGTACACAAAAACATGAAAACACCTTTTTCAAATTTTCATATTAAATTTTCCTGTAGTAATCGCAAAAAAATCGAAAAGAGAATTTTTTTATATCTATACGTTTCAAAGACTCTCTGAACAATTTGGTATACCTAAAAAAATGGATGTATGTTACTGTGTGTGTGTGCGAGAGAGAAGAGAGAGAGAGATAGTTTGTATTAAGCGGATGCAATATTTGGTCCACGATTTTGTGAACACGCATTAACCGATTTGAATGATTCAAAAAAAAACATTTGATTTGTATTGATTGGGGGGCGTTTATTGGTATAGAACGAAATGAATAGCAGATTAAAATTTACGGAAAGGCAGGTCTAGCA